ACTGCCTGAGCCCAGGGGTTTGAGATCACCCCAGGCAATTTGGCAAGATCTTATCTCTACAATAAATCAAAAAGTTAGCTGGGCATGGTGGCACATGCCTGTAAATCCCAGCACTTTGAGAGGCAGAGGTGAGAGAATTGCCTAAACTCGGGGGTTCAAGACTAGTCTGGGCAACTAGGCGAGACCTTGTCTCTACAATAAATAAAAAAATTAGCCAGGTGTGGTGGCACACACCTGTAGTTTCAGTTACTTGGAAGGTGGAGGTGGAAGGATCACCTGAGCTCAACAGAATCAAAAGATCGCCAATGCATTCCAGCCTGGGCAATAGAATGAGACACCTACTTTAAAAATAAATAAATAAGGCCTTGTACGGTGGCTCACATCTGTAATCTCAGCACTTTGGGAGGCTGAGGTGACAGGATTGCCTTATCCCAAGGGTTTGAGACCAGCCTGGGCTACTTGGTGAGACCTCATCTCTACAATGAACCAAAAAAAAAAAGTTAGGTTTGGTGGCGCATGCCTGTAGTCCCAGCTACTTGGAAGGATGAGGTGGGAGGATTGCCTGAGCCCATCAAGTCAAGGCTGTGAGGTGGCCATGAGCATGCCACTGCACTCCAGCCTGGGCGACAGAGTGAGATTCTGACTCAAAAAAACAAAACAAAACAAAAAAACCTGGGAAATATTATACTAAGTGCAATAAGCCAGTCACAGAAGGATAACTATTACATGAGGTGCCTAGAATATCTGATATGAGGTACCTAGAATATTCAAATTCATAAAGACAGAAAGTTGAAGAGTGGTTACCAAGAGCTGGCTAAAGACGGAACTGAGGAGTTTTTGTTGAATGGTTGAAGGAATAACGAACCAGTATCATAGCTACTACCAGCAATTCCCCTGCTGGGTGCCTATTAAAAAAAATTAAGGAAATCAACATGCTGAAAAATATTTGCACTCCTACATTTATCTCAGCACGATTCACAGCAGTCAAGACGAGGAATCCGCCTCAGTGTCTAGCAACAGATGAATGGATAGAAAAAAGTGCATATACACATAATGGGACCCTATCTGCCATAAGAAAGAATGGGCTCCCATCGTTCTCAGCTACATGGATGATCCTACAAGGCTGGCCCTGGAGGCCATTCTGATAAGAGAAACAATGTCACCCGACTGTCACAACTTACCAGGCATCAACTTGCTCTCTCCTCCTGACCTAAAAAAGAAATGTCTATTCCTAAATGCACGGGGTTTGTTTTGTTTTTTTGTTTTGAGTTGGAGTCTGATTCTGTCGCCCAGACTGGAGTGCAGTAGCACACTCCCGGTCACCGCAGCCTCCACCTGCTGGGCTCCGGCCATCCTTCCGCCTCAGCCTTCCGAGTAGCCAGAATTACAGGCACGTGCTACAACGCCCAGCTGATTTTTGGATTTTCTGTAGAGATGAGGTCTCACCAAGTTCCCCAGGCGGGTCTCGAACCCACAGGCTCAGGCAATCCACTCACCTCGGCCTCCCAAAGTGCTGGGATTACTGGCTGAGCCACCGAGCCCGGCCCTAAATGCACATTAATTACCACAGCATCATGGTGCTTCACGTTAACAAATCCTAAGTTGACCATAACAAAAGTTATTATTTGGCAGGAAGAAGGACTTCTGTTAATCAGAATAGTTAATCCTGAATAGTGTTGATTATATTCAGCACAAACTAGCACAGTCTAGAAGACCTAACTAGTTCTGGAAAAGGGCAGAAGAGTTAACTACTTAAGGAAAATTCTGTACCCCGTACATGACTCACCAAAAAAAAAAACAATGAAAGAGATGTAATGTGACAGAAAATCTGAATCATGAATAGAGCCACTTCTAACATTTAATGCTTCCTGAACTTGAAACTGAACTCCACCCACAACACATTAACGAGTACCACAGAAGATTAGATGTATAATAGTATAGCAGTGAGTTCTAGATCACATTTTAGATAACAAGGAGACTAAAACAACAAAGACAGCAATAAAAAAGTAAGTCTTTCCCTCTAAGAAGCTAGCCTACAAATGTTTGTTTTTATATAAAATATTTTGTACTTGAGCTTACACAAAAAAACAACATTAAAGCCAGCCAGGTGCAGGGGCTCACATCTATAATCCTAGCACTTTCAGAGGCTGAGGTGGGAGGACTGTTTGAGCACAGGAGTTCGAGACCAGCCTAGACAACATAGCAAGACCTTGTCTCTACCAAAAAAAAAAAATTTGAAACAATTAGCCTGGCATGGAGACGTATACCTGTAGTCCCAGCTACTCAGGAGGCTGAGGTGGAAGAATCAACTGAGCCCAGGAGGTCAAGGCTACAGTGAGTCTTGATCATGTCACTGCACTCCAGCCTGGGCAACAGAGTGAGACTCTGACTCAAAAAAAAAAAAAAAGAAAAGAAAAAAAAGGCAACAGCCACATTTTAAAAGTAAAACAAAAACATCAAAGCAGGTAAACTCCTCAAATGCACAATACTTGGTGGAAAAAAACTCCACGCTCAGAAGATATTATCAAGATGGCTGAACAGAGGTGCCAAAGCTTGTCTCCTACACAAACAAGGACCAAAGCAACAAACAGATAATGAAACTTCACGAAGAGTGTCTAAGGGAAAACAGTGGAATTCAGCAAGGAAGTCACAAAAACCTGTCACACATGAAAACCCAAAATGACAGCATAGAGAGGGAAGCGAAGCACAAGGCTAGGGTTGGCCAGGAGCCAGGAGGGAGTCCCCACGGCAGGGAAAAGGCAAGCAGAAGATCCCCAGCAGTCACGATAACCACTGCAGATGCCTGCAATCCCAGCTGCCAAAGAGCCCTGCAGTCCTCGCAGGCCCTGAGGTATCACCTCACCAGTGAGGATGGCTATCACCAGAAAGAGAAAAAGTCACAAATGTTAGCGAGAATGCCAAGAAAGGGGAAACTTTATATATTGTTAGTGGGAATGTAAAGTAATACAGCCATTAAGGAAAACAGTATGGAAGTTTCTCAAAAAGCTAAAAACATAACTACTACAAGATCCAGAAAAATCCCCCAATGGGTATACATTCAAAGGAAAGAAAATCAGTATGTCAAAGAAATGTTTCCACTCCCACGTTTACTGCTGCACTGTTCACCATAGCCAAAGTATGGAACCAACCTAAGCGTGCATCAACAGATGAATGGACAAAGACAACGGGGTGAATATGTGCCATGGAAAAGTATTAATAGTATCTGGCCATCAACAGAATGAAGTCCTGTCAATTGTGGCAACGTGGATGAGCCTATAAGACATTATGTCAAGTGAAATAAGGTAGGCAAACAAAAGATCACAGTTCTCATGCAGAACCTAAAAAAGTTGATCTCAAAGAAACTGAGAGGAGAAAAGTGGTTACAAGGGGTTGGGAAGGGCAGGTTTTGGTCCTTATTGGTGTAGGAGATAAGCACTGAGCTTATCCATTCAGCCATCTTGATGATATCGTCTAAGTAATTTTTTTCACCAAACATTGTGCATCTGAGTTTAACTGCACTGGTATTTTTATTTTGCATTGTTTTTAAAATTTGGTTGTTAGACTGGGAGAGGTTGGTTACCGAATATAAAATTACAGCAAGATAAAAAAATTAGTTCTAGTGTTCAATAGCACTTTAGGGTGACTGTAATTAACAATAATTCATGTATATTTTTAAACAGGCGTAGTGACTCATGCCTATAATTCCAACACTTTGGGAGGCAGAGGCGAGAGAATTACCTGAGCTCAAGGGTTCAAGACTACCTGAGCAATATGGCAAGACCTTGTCTCTACAATAAATCAAAAAATTAGCCAGGTATGGTGGCACATACTGGTGGTTCCAGCTGCTCGGAAGGCTGAGAAACTGGGCTCGGTGGCTCAGCCTGTAATACCACACTTTGGGAGGCTGAGGTGAGTGGATTGCCTGAGCCCGCGGGTTCGAGACTCCCCCAGGCAACTTGGGGAGACCTCTTCTCTACAATAAATCAAAAAACTAGCCGGGCGTGGTACCGCCCGCCTGTAGTTCCAGTTACTTGGAAGGCTGAGGTGGAAGGATCGTCGGAGCCCAGTAGGTTGAAGCTGCGGTGGCCGGGAGCAGCCACTGCACTCCAGCCTGGGTGACAGACTGAGACTCTAACTCAAAAAAAAAAATTTTAGAAGAGAGAATTTTGAATATTCCAAAACAGTATCTAAAGTGACGAAAAAAGCCGGACTCGGTGGCTCAGCCTGTAATCCCGTACCTTGGGAGGCTGAGGTGAGTGAACTGCCTGAGCCCGCGGGTTCGAGACCCGCCTGGGCAACTTGGTGAGACCTCATCTCTACAATAAATCAAAACTTAGCCAGGTGTGGTAGCGCACCTGTAGTTCCAGCTACTTGGAAGGCTGAGGTGGAAGGATCACCGGAGCCCAGCAGGGGGAGGCTGTGGTGGCTGTGAGCATGCCACTGCATTCCAGTCAGGGTGACAGAGTGATTCTCTAACTCAAAAAATAAAGAAAGAAGCCGGGCTCGGTGGCTCAGCCTATAATCCCGTGCCTTTGGGAGGCTGAGGTGAATGGATTGCTTGAGCCCGCGGGTTCAAGACCCGCCTGGGCAGGCAAGACCTCATCTCTACAATAAATCAAAAAATTAGCCGGGCATGGTAGCGTGCGCCTGTAATTCCGGCTACTCGGAAGGCTGAGGCGGAAGGATCACCGGAGCCCAGCAGGTCGAGGCTGCGGTGGCCGGGAGCGGCCACTGCACTCTAGTCTGGGCGATAGAGTGAGACTCCAACTCAAAAAAATAAAAAGAAAAATAAAAAGAAAGAAAGAAACAAAGAAAACAAAAAAGTAGTTGCCTCTGGAAATAGACCTAGAAGTGGGAAGGGACTAGGTAAGGGATTATTCTTATAAATTTATCAGTATTAGTTGCTCTCATAACCACATATAAATTATTAGATGCATATACTTTTAGACATGAAGTCCATAGTACAACTTAATGGAATCCCCGTCAGCCACAGACAATACCTTGGGGTGAGGAAAGCTGCTGCTCTTGCAGCCTCTCCTGAGAGAGGAGTCCCAGGTAGCTGAGGACAACATACTTTGTTTCGTAGTGAAATCCTAGAGGCACGGTAGTGGAGGACGCCATTGAATTGGCTGGCAGAGCTTCCTGAGGTCTACTTGCAAACGTGAAAACCTAAAACATAAAAATACTTTTTCAGTTTAAAATGTATTACGTACCAGTACATTTTCCTATCAACTCCAATTATTCAACTAAAGGCAGAAACAGTTTCTCAGACTTTTTCCAGTAATCTTTAACAAATGCTGCCAGGCATTGTGGCTCAAGTCTGTAATCCCAGCATTTTGGGAGGCCAAGGCGAGAGCATTGCCTGAGCCCAAGGATTCGAGACCAGCCTGGGCAACATGACGAGACCCTGTCTCTACAATAAATTAAAAAAAAAAAAATTAGCTGGGCATAGTAGCACGCACCTGTAGCTCCAGCTAACTGGAAGGCTGAAGTGGAAGGATTGCCTAAGCCCAGCAGGTCGAGGCTGCGGTAGCTGTAAGTGTGCCACTGTACTCCAGCCTGGATGATAGAGTAAGACTCCAACTCAAAAATAAAATAAAATAAAATAAATTAGGCTGGGCACAGTGGCTCAAGCCTTTAATTCCCACATTTTGGGAGGCCAAGGCAAGAGGATTGCCTTAGCTAAGGGGTTTGAGACCAACCTGAGTAACATGGTGAGACCTCATCTCTATAATAAATCAAAAAATGAGCCGAGCATGGTGGTGCATGCTTGTGGTTCCAGCTACCTGGAAGGCTGAGGGGGAAAGGTCATCAGAGCCCAGCAGGTCGAGGCTGCAGTAGCCGTGAGCCTACTACTGCACTCTAGCCTGGGTGACAGAGTGAGACTCTGACTCAAAAAATAAAATAGCACATGCCTGTAATTCCGGCTACTTGGAAGGCTGAGGTGGAAGGATCACCGGAGCCCAGCAGGTCGAGGCTGCGGTGGCCGGGAGCGGCCACTGCACTCCAGTCTGGGCGACAGTGTGAGACTCCAACTCAAAAAAATAAAAAATAAAATAAAATAAAATAAAATAAATTAGGCTGGGCACAGTGGCTCAAGCCTTTAATTCCCACATTTTGGGAGGCCAAGGCAAGAGGATTGCCTTAGCTAAGGGGTTTGAGACCAACCTGAGTAACATGGTGAGACCTCATCTCTATAATAAATCAAAAAATGAGCCGAGCATGGTGGTGCATGCTTGTGGTTCCAGCTACCTGGAAGGCTGAGGGGGAAAGGTCATCAGAGCCCAGCAGGTCGAGGCTGCAGTAGCCGTGAGCCTACTACTGCACTCTAGCCTGGGTGACAGAGTGAGACTCTGACTCAAAAAATAAAATAGCACATGCCTGTAATTCCGGCTACTTGGAAGGCTGAGGTGGAAGGATCACCGGAGCCCAGCAGGTCGAGGCTGCGGTGGCCGGGAGCGGCCACTGCACTCCAGTCTGGGCGACAGTGTGAGACTCCAACTCAAAAAAATAAAAAATAAAATAAAATAAAATAAAATAAATTAGGCTGGGCACAGTGGCTCAAGCCTTTAATTCCCACATTTTGGGAGGCCAAGGCAAGAGGATTGCCTTAGCTAAGGGGTTTGAGACCAACCTGAGTAACATGGTGAGACCTCATCTCTATAATAAATCAAAAAATGAGCCGAGCATGGTGGTGCATGCTTGTGGTTCCAGCTACCTGGAAGGCTGAGGGGGAAAGGTCATCAGAGCCCAGCAGGTCGAGGCTGCAGTAGCCGTGAGCCTACTACTGCACTCTAGCCTGGGTGACAGAGTGAGACTCTGACTCAAAAAATAAAATAGCACATGCCTGTAATTCCGGCTACTTGGAAGGCTGAGGTGGAAGGATCACCGGAGCCCAGCAGGTCGAGGCTGCGGTGGCCGGGAGCGGCCACTGCACTCCAGTCTGGGCGACAGTGTGAGACTCCAACTCAAAAAAATAAAAAATAAAATAAAATAAAATAAAATAAATTAGGCCGGACACGGTGGTTCAAGCCTGTAATCCCAGCACTTTGGGAGGTAGAGGCAAGAGGATTGCCTAAGCTCGGGGGTTCAAGACCAGCCTGAGCAACATGGTGAGTCTTCATCTGTACAATAAATCAAAAAATTAGCCAGGAGTGGTGGCACATGGCTATGGGTCCAGTTACTTGGAAGGCTGAAGCGGAAGGATCACCTGAGCCCAGCAGGTCGAGGCTGCGGTGGCCGTGAGTGTGCCACTGCACTCCAGCCTGGGCCACACAGTGAGACTCTGACTCAAAAAAAAAAAAATGTAACTGCTCTAACTTACAGATAGTAATTTATTGACTCCGATTTCAGATCAAAAGCAAATTTCCTTTTCTTCCTTCCTAGCTACTCTATTTGCACCTATGTGGCAAAAACATAAGCTCCGCCCCCCCACCCCAATATATGTCCTCTAATTTTAGTGAGAAAGCCTCCTAAAACTTTAGCTAGCCCCGTGGCCACACAGCGGCAGACCACAAGTCTGGGTCATGTTTGTAGCTTAATGTCCTGCATGATTTGTAGCTCAACATCCAGCCAGAGGAAGGTGAGTATAAGTAATCTGTGGGTCACTCCTTAAAGACTGCCTTTCCTCCTTTCTGGGGTTTGGAAGGTGAATGTGGCGGTAACCTAGCTCTGACATTCAAACAAGGACCCCACCCTTTGAGATGGCAAAGCAACCAGACAGACGGACCAGCCTGGACCACCTGCCTCTGGACAGTATTAAACCACTTTAATCACAATCTCTTCAGTAGGTGCCCTCCCTTGCATCCTCATCAATACAACTCTCACTTTATCATATGAACCTGGAAGCTGTTTTACCTACCACATACTTTAATAGTCATCTCACAGCAAAATGTCTTCTGCTAGAGTTTTCCAAATAACTTTGTTTTCTTTTTTTTTTTTTTGAGTTGGAGTCTCACTCTGTCGCCCAGACTGGAGTGCAGTGGCCGCTCCCGGCCACCGCAGCCTCGACCTGCTGGGCTCCGGTGATCCTTCCACCTCAGCCTTCCAAGTAGCTGGAATTACAGGCATGCGCTACCACGCCCGGCTGATTTTTTTATTTTTTATTGTAGAGATGAGGTCTCGCTGCCCAGGCGGGTCTCGAACCCACGGGCTCAGGCAATCCACTCACCTCAACCTTCCAAAGGCGCGGGATTACAGGCTGAGCCACCGAGCCCGGCTTGTTTTCTTTTTAAAACATGGAGGTGAGGCACGGTGGCTCACACCTATAATCCCAGCACTTTGGGAGGCCAATGTGAGAGGACTGTCTGAGCTCACAGGTTCCAGACCAGCCTGGGCAACTTGGTGAGACCTCATCTCTACCATAAATCAAAAGAATTAGCCGGGCGTGGATATGACTGTAGTTCCAGCTACTTGAAAGGCTGAGGCGAAAGGATCACCTGAACTCAGCAGGTTGAGGCTCCAGTGGCCGTGAGAGTGCTATTATTACACTCCAACCTGGGCGACACAGTGAGACTCCAACTCAAAAAAGCAGAAACAAAAACAAAAACATGTACTGCTTTAAGATGTCAACAAATATCCAATGAAAGAGAGGTTCAAATAATAAAAGATCTGTGGCAATCAAACTAACAGAAATGTCCTAGAATGATAAACAGTAAAAAAAAAAAAAAAAATACATGCAGAATTTGAAATATACAAAATGTGTGGCTATATAAAGATAACACGAAAATCTTCTTGGAGGCCAGGCTTAGTGGCTCAGCCTGTAATCCCAGCACTTTGGGAGGCCAAGGCGGGTAGATTGCCAGAGCCCATGGGTTCGAGACCAGCCCAGGCAGCTTGGCGAGACCTCGTCTCCACAATAAATAAAAAATTAGCCGGGCACAGTAGCACGCACCTATAGTTCCAGCTACTTGGAAGGTTGAGGCAGAAGGATTGCTGGAGCCCAGCAGGTTGACACTGGGGTTGCCATGAGTGTGCCACTACACTCCAGCCTGGGCGACAGAGTGAGACTCCAACTCAAAAAAAAAACAGTCAAAACTGCCTTCTTAAAAAATGCATTCATGGTTGCTATTAATATTACTGTTCCCGCCGGGCTCGGTGGCTCAGCCTGTAATCCTGTGCCTTTGGGAGGCTGAGGTGAGTGGATTGCTGAGCCCGCGGATTCGAGACCCGCCTGGGCAACTTGGCGAGACCTCATCTCTACAATAAATCAAAAATTAGCCGGGCGTGGTAGTACGCACCTGTAATTCCGGCTACTCGGAAGGCTGAGGCGGAAGGATCGCCGGAGTCCAGCAGGTTGAGGCTGCGGTGGCCGGGAGCGGCCACTGCACTCCAGTCTAGGTGACAGAGTGAGACCCCAACTCAAAAATATATATATATATTACTATTCCTTAGGCAAACAAAAGAAATCTTGGTTCAACATTTAAATATCTGTAAATTGGGCCAGGTGCAGTAGCTCACCCTATAATCTCAGTCCTTTGGGAGGCCAAGGCAGGAGGATAATGTAAGGCCAGGAGTTTGAGGTCAGCCTGGGCAACAGTGAGAATCTATTCCCACAAAAGAATGTAAAAATTAGCTGGACATGGTGATGTACACCTGTAGTCCTAGCTACCTGGGAGGCTGAGAAGGGATGATCCCTTGAGCACAGGAGTTTAATGTTACAGTGATCTATGATAGTGTCACTGCACTTTAGCCTGGGCAACAGAGCAAGACCTCAACTCTTAAAAAAAGTTTTTATTTTTTATTTTTTGAAAGTAGGATTTATTAAGAAGACAAAAAAGCTCCCACAGTGGGAGGGGACAGTGAAAGAGGTTGCCCTAAAAAATGTTTTTAAATCAAAATAAAAAATAAAGTCCATAATTTGGACCCCAGCATGAAAAAAAAAAAAAAATCCATATTGCTTCTATCTTCAGGGGACCATGCTACTAAATTAGATCAAAATATCTAATAAATCAAGTTAATAGGCCTAGGGTTACCTAAAATTTCCCATAAACTTCAGATAACTATTTCACAATTACTAATACATATTCCAAAGAAAGGGAAAAAGTGTTACTGGTTCCATTACAGGAATGAAAGTCCTACCCACTGCATCCTTCCAAGGCATACTACTCCTGAATAACTCCAAATATTTGATCCTACTTTTACACTGCTACCATTTAGTAGGAGGAAGA